TGATGCAGCATATTAGCACATATTGACTCCTTTTAAAGTCACTTTCTTTTTAATGAATATTTAACATTCAATACAATCTCTCATTTGTGCCACTCCTTCAGTGTTTAAAAAACATCAGAGAAGAAAGATAATAGAATCTGTTTGACAGAAACAAATCTCTTAATTTAATTAAAGCTCCTTCTTACTCCTTCATTATTGCCATTACTTTTAAAGATACAGCTTAGCTACACAGATGTGAAATTGTTGAAGGAATACAGTATTGTTACTTATAATAATATCTCATGGTTTATGCTTGAAAAAATAGCATTAGCCAACTTGAGAAGAAAAAACATTATTGTGAGTTTATAGAAAGCTCCTATACTTATCCTGTAAAGTTTAACGCTACAAAGACAGATGTTGAAAACAAGCATGATCAACGTCAACAACAACAAAAAAAATTGAAACAAAATGCACTTGGTAATAAAATGTGTCAAGAAGCATAGTGTGTTACATTAATTTTTACAGTTAGTTGCAGATAATAATAAATCACCAAAGAAATCCTGGTTGAAAACTGTGAAGACACAATGGAAGGCAGTAAAAACTTTTACACATGGTAAAAGCAATTTAAAGATTTAGAAGATTTAGAAATATCTCTTACATAAGGGAACAGTAGCGCTACTTGGCTGTGCTGGTGCCCTACCCTGTGTCCAAGAAAAGCTTCTCCTGGGAAACATCCAAATGAGCACTCCCTCCTATAGCACAGGGAACTGACAGCAACTGAACATGGAAGCTCAGTCAGCTGAGAACTGTCTCAGCTCACTGAGGGGAAGAAGCAGCATTTGACATGGGACCAACAAATACCACAAACTGGGCTGAGAAAGGATAGGAGCAAAAAATCTAATCTATAGAACAAGAATGAACGCAACACCTGCAACGAATGGCAACTACAGCAGTGGACAGCAATATAAAACCCTAGGGAGAATTAGAGACACATTACAAATACGAAGAAAGGGAGACAAGCTATTTCCACAGACTCGTAAGTAGAGCATCTCCTTCAAATGCAGGAAGAAATTCCTCAAAAGCAATTGAGATCTACTAGAAAAGATGAAGCACTAGGGCTCTTTTAGCCATGGCAAACCGGCTTTGTCTGCTCACTAAAAACTGAGCTTTATCGCAGCTTAATATGATAATTGTTAATGGGATAAGAAGACTTTGTAGCAAAAAGAAAAAAAAAAAAAACACTTTGAGAGGCCTGTCCATATTATCCTGAGGCTAAAAAACAAAAGCAAACAAAAAAAATACAAAAAAAAAGAAAATCAACAAGCAGCCAAACAAACAAAAAACAAACACATCTCAACAACTTGTATCTTTATTATTGAATGAGCTCAGCTGCCTTAAAAAAGGTGAAGTAGTATGAGTGATTTGGATGGTCACAGTCTCATTGATGATTGCCACGGAAAAGCAATTTTTACGTGTTACAAAAAAAACAAAAACAAACAAATAAAAAAGAAAAAACAAAAAAGGGAACATTTCCTTCCACACAATAAGTATCATTAAAATATCTATCGTAACATGAAGCTGTAATTGAGAAATAGAACATTGACTGAAGAATCATATGAGAACTAAATTAAATGCAACTGGGACTCCACATTCTTTATGAAAATTAAGGTTTCAGTGTGAGATAATTAAAGCAAGGATAGCCAACGCATGGTGTGCCAGAACATATAATTCAGCCTGTCATCTTCATTCCTGAGAGCCCCTCGGAGTTGGTCAGGAAGCAAGCTGTCAGCCACACAAATCACTCACTACCCACAGCAGTGTCCCTGCTGTTCTCCTTTAGAGTCCCACAGCTCCCATTTGTCATGTAGCCGGACATGCCCTAAACCCAACCTACGGGCATCATGTAGTATGGGAGTATGCCCATTCAGTAACATGACCAAAGGCCTTATGTACACATGTCCCCAACAGGCAACAGTGTGCTCTGATGGGGCCATGGGGTGTGCTCAAGTGATGACTGCAAATCTAATTACATGGCAGATGAGCACATGTTCCCCAAGTGCCTCTGCTAGGGGATATTGGATTGACCTGGCAGAAAAGCTGAGTGACACTGACCTAAACAAAGTGAAGAAAATGCAGTCAACTGTTGTGAAGCTTGGGACTTGCAACGGGGAAACAAGGATGAGATAATGGGAGAATGTGAAGGAAAGACAACAAACACACACTGTAAAATAACTAAACCTTCATGCAAGTGAATTACTGGGAGGGAAGAAAAAGGACAGGAACATCTGGATGACATGAGATACAAAAAGATGTAAAGACTAAGAACATTCTAACAAAAGAAATAAAGGCTTAAGAAAAAGAAAGATGTAACTTCACGGACTAAAAAGATTGAACTTTTCAGAACTAATGAATTGATGAAATGACCACTGAAAAATAACATGTACAAAAAAAGAAAAAAAAAAGGGAGAATATTAGGACATGAGCACTGCAAAAAGTAATTCAGAAGTATTAAAAATATTCAGTTTTTATCATTAGATTACATTTCAGTACAGATAAGAAATTTAAAGAAAAAACACTGAGACATACTGTAAAAGAGGAATGTACCACAGAGCCAGAAAAATGTAAACTGCACAATCCAAAGGGGCTTTGCACAAAGCGGAGCACATCAGGGGAGAGAGGTCACTATTAACTGCAGTACAGAATCATGATAACAAAGTGATGCAAGACACTATGAAAGACCATGGGTCAGGTTCCCTGAACAGCTTAGAGCTTTTATATAGATACTGAGCCTTTCCTTAGCTCCCAAATGTATCTTGAGGGAAATATGTAGGATGCAATTTAAGTCTGCTGTTGATAAACACATGGGGATGGTCATATCAACAACAGAGCTTCAAGCCACCAAATTGAAACATGGTGAAACAGATCTGTGGTATACCAATTCATTTAATTGCTCTGGAAGACTCTTAGGAACCTACCACAGCTATACTTAGATGAATTCTGCTTCTAGGGACATGCCTTTTTTTTTTTTTTCCCTCCCCTCCTTCCACTTTTGAACCAGCTGAAGGAGAATTGTGTAAGTCTTGATCACAAGCTTTACTATTCTTGCCTGGCCTCATGCAATAGCACTTTAAAGCTCTTTTTAATCACAAAAAAGAACAGCCCTCTCCAATCCTCAGAGAAAACAAAAAAAAAAAAATGAAAAGTCAAGTGGGAAAAGAAAGGTTCTGAGACTATTTTGGGATAGCGGAAAAAAAAACATGATAACATTCACAATTTAAGACAAACCAGCTGATATTCAAAGCAATCTAGTTTTCATAACATAGGATCTTAAGAACACAACACTCAATCAGAAAACATTGCTCAGAAACCATTCAGATAGATTTTATTCACAACATTTTATTAGAAACTAATGCATAACACAACACAATCAGCAGTTCTCTGGGATAACAAGAAATTACTCAGCCCTGTCAGAACTTGGGACAATGTCAGCACATGGTTTCAGGACCATACTACTTACTTCAATCACAGCACCAATGGCATGAAACAAATGGCACTTCCCAGTGAAAAAGTTATGTACCAACAAAAAGTCTTTTTTTGCTTAGTTTTTCCAAGAGGCATTTTATTATGACAAAATAAGCAATATCAAGATGAATTCACTCTTTCAGCAGTTGGCCTACTGCATTGTGCAATGATCATAGAGCTTTTATCCTATGCTTAAAATACTTCAACTTTCCATCATTTTAAGACTGCTCTGATTGGTTCCTTTCAAGGTTAATAAGGGCATTTAAGACAGGTATGTTCTAGATAACAGTATCTATTCTTTCCAGATGTTTCAGAAAATAATATAAAATTCAGAGATGGATTTTATTTGCAGCTCTTCTGTGCCCATCACACACTCATTTTTCATTTGGTCTTCCCTAGTTGTTAATATATCAGCTGACCCATTACTGACCACTTAGCTGCTATCCCAGTAAAATACAGCATACCCTTTTTATGAGGCTGTTTAAATATCCCAAACTTTAAGATTTACTTGCAGTTTCACATAGGCCTCTCTTACCTGTTAACCTATGCCAGTGTTTCCTCCCTGTGATCGCCACCACTAGCTGCAGTATCTTCTTCCTTGGTGCATCTGTAACAACAGGATTTAAACGCTGTGGCAAACCAGCCATTTCCTTACACTATAACAGACTGACGGGTGTGGAGGCTAAGTGTGGTGCATGCCCAGGGAGAACCTATGGGTCCCCCACCCTTTTGAGTGCTTAATTCTTGCTTTTGAGTGATATCCATTATCCAATGGACTTACAGAAAACTTTTTTTGTTGTTCTATTTACTTAAGTTCCTCCTGCTTGCTTTCTGACAATGCTCACAGAATATACTCTATTTGAGATAGTTACTACATGACTTACATATTACTACTAAAAAGCCATGCAGAAGCAAACGGATTTTTTTTTACAGCTGCTTCATTTGGCTTGCACTACAACTTAGCTTACTAGATAAAATAGCAGAACAAAGAATTATATTCCTGTCTTGAAAAGTACCTTCCTACAGACAAACGCACCTAGCCTCTGCAGCTAAGCTTCCAAGAATATTCCCAAAAAATGACATGCTCCCTGAATCCAGCCTGCTCTCCCTCAGCTCTCACACAGGTGATGCTGCTCACAGGCAACCAAAGCCAGTGACACATTTAATGCATTTCAATACTTTTTTTTTTTTTAAACCCAGGTAGCTGCCGAAGCTGCGTTTGTTCGCCCGAGAACGCAGCAGCACCCCCACTCCCTGCTGCACCTACCCCCAACTCTTGCGACGCGCTAACTGCCACTAACGGCCACCCGCCGCGCGCACGCG